GACTCAAGACCTGGGTCTCAGGTGGCGCCACTTGACCCAGACACTTAGGGCTAAGAAGTCATTTACTTGTGCCCACATATTCAGAATATGGCAGAAGATGGACATGAGTGACCACAGTAGACATTTCCATTTACAATGCAGAAGAATAATTGTAGCCTGTCACTGACTCACAGCAATTCTGAGATCTCTGTGGAATGAAACAGAACTGGGCCCAGAGCTAGAGGCTCTTTCCTGAGTGGCCTCCAGTTCTACTTCCTGGAGAAGCTTCCCATTCATAGCTCTTCATAGCTCCGGAAAGTTCTTTTTCCTTATTATCCTCCTTGGATGCATCTGAAGAAGTCATTGAAAAATGATCTCCCCTGGGGCTTGAACCCCCTTAGATGTGGTCTCCAAGTCACTGTTGCTTTACATGTCACTTAGGAAAGCCTAAGGGATGGCCCTGTGTAGGAAGGGTTGTGATCTTATCAGTATTAAGTCTTCTGACCCACGACCATGGGATGTCTTTCCATCTCATTAAGTATTATTTAACATCTCCCAAAATGTTTTGCTCGTGCTACTTCCCTTTCAAAACCATACTTTTCTTATCTATTAGGTTCTGGGAAGTCTGTATCTCAATAATCCATTCCTCAGTTACTTTTGGAAGCATGCCACCATTATCAGTCTCTCAAGTGTTCAACAGCCTGTACGTTAGTAACATCAGGAACCATAAAATGCCTTCTGTGTTTTGATCATACCCTCACATACAAGAACTTTAATGTGCAGGTAAATATTGTCTCCAAAACATTGGCCTAGTCTCTGAGGTGAGACTCACCCTCTCTAGTCTAGTTGTTTTCAACCAGAAGCTTCCCCAGGGGACATTTGACAATGTCTGGAGATACTTTTAACCGAGAACTCTGTGAGGATCTATCACTAACAGGGACAGCGCTGAACACAGGGAAAAGCATAGGACACCATCTATGTCCCCTCTCCTCCACACCAATGTTATTAGGGCTGAGGCTGAGAACCCCGTCTCTAACAATACCACTGAAAAAAAGTCCCCACAATATCCCTGATGGTTCTCCAATATCACGTATTTCCAGCTTAATACCACCAACCACACATATGTGCTACGGTGTTTTAAAGCATTTGAAAGGCCATTTGTTTTGTTGGACTCGAAGGAGTCAAAATTTGTGATTTGAAAAAGCCAAAATTTGTTTGGTGGTAACATTTTCATTGTCTACTGACCATGACATCTCCGCCCTTCATTGTTAAAATTTCTTACAGTGGGGCCACTGAGATAACTTAGCAGGTTAAGGTACTTGCCACACAAGCCTGACAACATGCATTGGATCCCCAGAACCCACATAGAGGGGGGCAAAGAGGATCAACTCTGTAAGTTTGTCATCTGACTTCCACATGCATGCTTCTCACAGTTTTCCCAATATAATACTTTTATTGATTATTTGGGAATTTCACATAATGCACCCTTTTTACACTCACTTCCCCATCCTCCCAGGTCTACTTGTGACCTCCCCACCAAAAAAATAAAAGAAAAATATAATATATACCAAGTCCAATTTGTACTACCCATACACTCACTGAAGCATGGTCAAACTTCCCAGTGGCCAGCCCCTTAAAGAAAACCGAGTCCTTTCCAGCCCCTAACCCCTCCAGAAGCCATCAACTGTGAGAGCTATACTTCAGCATCCCTGTCACAATTTTTAAGAGTTCTCTTCGATGGCTTCCTGTCTGACCTGTTTCTTTCTGGGGAGTGGAGGAGAGAGGCTGTCCCAGAAACCTTCCATGTCTGGTATTCTCAACTGTGAGTCTGCGGTCATCAACGTCACTGCAAAAGAAGCTGCCTTGCCCTTGACATCCACAGCATGGACCACGGACAGCCACATGGCCTCCAGCAGCAGCTCAGACTAAGGACTTTAGCCACAGACACCATCATGGTTCTGGGTAGCAGCCATGGCCATCAACATGGCCTCTGGTGGGAACATGGCCCATGGACATCAACATGGCTTCAGGTGGCAGTCAAGGCCATGGGCATCCATTTGTTCTTTAGCGGTAAAACAGACCATGAACACCAACATGGCTTCTGGTGGCAACAGGGGCCATAGACATCAACACGGCCACCCAGACCACAGACATCATCAACACGGCCACCCAGACCACAGACATCATCAACATGGCCACCCAGACCACAGACATCATCAACATGGCCACCCAGACCACAGACATCATCAACATGGCCACCCAGACCACAGACATCATCAACATGGCCACCCAGACCACAGACATCAACACGGCCTCAGGTAGCATCACAGACCACGAACATCCACATGGACCCTGGGCATCAACATGGCCTCTGGGGGCAGCACGGACAGTGGAAGACTTTTGAGGAGGCCCAGTCCAGAGAATGAACCATTCTCCATCTCAGACATCCTGTTGTTGCTCAGAGCCAGGGCGATTGCATGGCTGGGCATCGAGTTCTGGGGCAGAGCTTGCCAGAGCTCCAGGCTGCTGCACACCACCCTATCGGCCCTACTCAGCAAGGACACTGCAGCCTTCTCCCACACCTGTCGCCACTGTCATGTCTCTAGTTCTGCCTCTCTCCACAGCGCATGCTCTGCTCCATTCCTCCATCCTTCCCATCTCTCCATTGCGTATCTGTTCGTTTGAAGTGGCGTTGCAAACTGCAGTGTGTCCCACAGCGTAAGTATGTCCAAACAGCTTTATGTGCAAATACTCATTGCAACGAGTCATCGGTCTAGTTTAAGTTCTTTGGTCTCTGAAGCACCATAAATACTGGACCATCACCGAGACTTGATTCAGACACCCTGCTGTTGCCCAGAGTCAGGGTGATCTTGCAGCTATGCAGGGCATCCAAGGACAGGATCCATGTAAGCTCTAGGCTGCCTGTGGGCAGTGCCATGGCCTTGCACTCCCCTCCTCCCAGCAGGGTGGGCAGCAACATCAGCTCCATGCAGCTATTCTCAGTAATGACATGTTTCTGCAAGAGCTCCAGGCCGCCACACACCTTCCTGTCCTTGGTACCAGCTACCCTGAGGCTCACCGGGCACACTGGGCATGACTGTTGGGCTTGCAGTCAGCAGCAGCTCCATGCTGTAGGCCAAGGACTGGCCCTGCTCAGTAATGCCATGCCCTTTGTCTCTGCAGCCGCTCCCATATCGCTCCCATACCCTTCTGCATGTGTCTCAGTTTTGCCTTTCTTCACTGTGTGCGTGGGGCTCTGCTCCGCCATCTTGTCTTCCACTTCCATGAGCCCACTTTTTAAAAACATCTTCCCGTAAGTCTTGCCTTTTAATAAAAGTTGTTCTGGAATACTGCAGGCTCTGGAGACTCCCCCTCCACCGCGTCTCCCCTCGGAGCCTCCATGGGTCTCAGACTCCTCAGAGCTGCTCTGAGGTCCTGCAGGTGCCAGCTGCTGCTGCCATCTTAAGTCTCCAGCTGCTCCCCACAGTGATAATAAATAAAACCAAAAACAAATAAAATAAAATTTTTACATAATATGTAATATTTAGATTACTTCCCCTTCCTGACAAATTTTATTTGCCCTGCTAAGACATAGTCTGAATTTCTAAATGGATTTCAGTTTTTCTTTTTAGTTGTTAATGTGTGCCTTTCTTTTTACTCTTGTAGAAGAAAATGCAGACCTGCTGGGAGGCCCTGCTCTGGTTCAGGGTGACAGTTATTTCACCAGGGTTACTACCCAGCCCCTCTCATAACTCCTGCTGGCTTTGGTGCCTGTGAAGGAAATTCCCGAGGTTTACCATTAAAACAGTAGATGAACTTGACATGACAAGGGTTTCTAGGCACCAGGGTGCCAAGCACAAAGGGAAATGTTTCAATAAAAAAAATGCAGTTTTTGCCCCCCACGGGAGTCAGAACACAGCAAAAGAGAAATGCAAATTATAGATGTAAAAACACCTACCAGATGATGGCAGGCACACTTGTGACCTGCATCTGCTAAGGATTTAGTCTAGAAATAAAAGGAAGGCCTGCTTCCTTCCTGGTGTCTGCTGTTTGCTGGACGATCGAGCCCACAAACAGTCAAGGACTATGTGGCTGAGACTGACTTTGATATTCCAGATGAGAACACATACGAAGAAAGCACTATCGTTTGTATCAGCAGCATCTGCTTTCTTAGCCAGCTCCAAGTGGCTATCAGTTTTTTTTTTTTTTTAATAAAGAACAATTTTGCCTTTAAATCGAATTTTGGACTAGGTAGATCATTCTGTCAGATACATGGTCTATTCTCATCTTGCTGGGTTTTTTTCCCCCCATTTCATACCATGTTTCATTTTGTTCCTCTGCCTCATGGTTGGAAATGTGTGAATTTTTTTCTCTGGGCTTTTTCTTTCCTCTTCATGGTGTCTGTGCTGGAATCATGACCAGCCAAGCTGCTGAGAATTCATGGCAACAGAAAGTGTGCCAAGCTGAAGGAAGACACCCAGCACTAGCCTGACATCTACCGACCTCTGGCTGAGTGTCACAGGACAAGTCCCAATCACTTCTCTGCTATTTTAGCACGATTAGGACTGCACGCAAAGACCTCTAAGGACTTGCTTACAGCTCAAATAGTCTCTGAATTGTAAACCTTTTACATGCATGAGAACAGCAACACAGTAACTACATATTTTCTTCATTTGCCGTTACGTAGCCATTTATTGGCTATAGCATGCACATATAGGTGTATGCATGTGTGCTCATCTCTCTCTCTCTCTCTCTCTCTCTCTCTCTCTCTCTCTCTCTCTCTCTCTCTCTGTGACACACACACACACACACACACACACACACACACACACACATACACGGGGGGGGGAGAGTGGACTAGTGGTAACATGGTAGACAGTATAAGGTATAATAATCTGTAAACACAGCTTGTACACAGAAGATGCCCAGGTATTTAGATACCTCTGTTGGAGGAAATATGTAAGCATTCATCACAGTTATAAAATAGCCTTCTCTGAAATGTCATTCCTTCCCTCCCCCAGGACAGATAAAGCGCCTGCAGACTCAGACCAGCCACTGAAACAGCCATGAAAACCTTCACGCTTTTGTAAAGCAGGACAAAGCTTTGAAGCTGCAGCGTGAACTCGCCCAGCATCTCCCAGCTGTGATGAGGACAGCATTTCCCTAGTCAAAACAGCCTGGCTCCATTGACAGTGTTCACTTCTCTGGATAATAAACAGAACTTGTAGGCTGTGTCCATATCATTTTCCTTCAGCTATCCCACTACTTAACACGATGTCAACGATTAAAACAAAGTCCAGAGTCACAATGTGGAACCGTGGCTCTAGTTAATTATCTCAGAAAAGACACTGACCACCATGTACTTGAATAGTCAAGGCCCTGAAAGAAGGTCTGATGGCCTTTGTTTGTCCCGTGTATGTAGCATCTCTCTGGCTACTTCCCCCGGGGTTGGTGTTTCCTTTCTTTCTCTTTCTCTTTCTCTTTCTCTTTCTTTCTTTCTTTCTTTCTTTCTTTCTTTCTTTCTTTCTTTCTTTCTCTCTCTCTTTCTTTCTTTCTTTCTTTTTTTTGGTGTGAGTGTGGGGGAATATTCCTTTAAATGATTCTAGAAATATCCTGTCTCCCTGGTTGGAGGGAGGCTGTGTTTATCTGCTAGGTAATGTTCTTAGCAGAAGCACGTTAAATAAGGATGGCAGACAATACAGCCTCCATGGAGACTGCTACAATTCCCTTCTATTCTTTTTCAAATGTTAAGTTTGTATTGGGTTATTTAATAGACTGCAATATATTCAGTAGGTACAGAATCCATGCCCCCAAATGGCTGGATTTTAATTCTATCCCTCCAGTCTGTTTTAACTAAGACATTTTCTCCTGTGCATATAATCTTCATTATCATGGAAGTTATTTTTAATTTATAATTAACATAGTCTCTTTCTCATCATGTATGCCTTGATTGACTTGGACCCTCCGGACACGTCTTGTCTGGCACCATGCTGGCTGGGTCCTGCAGTTCTCCGATCGTGCAGCAGGTGTCTATCTTAGCCTTCCCTTCCTTCCTCCTCTCCAGTCCCTGACGCCAGGATATAGTGCATAATTCCAAAATGGCAGCTTTTTGAAAATTCACCTTGATTATCAGACATTAAAAGTGACTCATCTTGCAGTGACTGTCTGGCGGAAGGGATGGGATCAGACAGCAAGACAATGAAGGGACTGGGCGCATTAGCGCACCAGATTACAGAGCCATCAAAAATACCTTTGTTCTGTCAAAGATCCAATCATTTCCTAGTTGTGTTCTGTGGAGGAGAAAGAACGAGAAGGAAAAATCCACCAAACAAACAAACAAGAAAATTCATCTATGAATTAAAAACCTCCTCAGATCTCTTTATCCTAAGAGGGGAGGGAGGGAGCAGATCATCCATCCCAAGAGGAGGCGAGGTGGAGCCGCGTCTGAGCTGGGGATCTGTAGCAGCCTTTCTCCCAGTGGCCATCACATTTTCCTCACTACCTTCTGTTCTTTGAATCTCTGTAAGAGCAAAAACTGCCAGGTTAATAGGACTTGGTCGTGTCTGTGTGTCAGTACTCAGCCAGATTCGTGGTGGCATATTTAGAAGAAATGGCCGCACAATTAAAACATTGGCATTAAAAGCACAGCTTCTGATTTCCATCATGTTACGTTAGAAAGCTAACCAAGACACGTGTGATGAGCTAGAGGGGAACACGTGTGTGGGAGCCGTTGGCAGCATCCACACAGGCTACTGTAGAACAGCAGGATTCGTCTTCGGCAGAGCCCACAGATCCTGCACCAAGCGTGAATGTGCATGTGTACAGGGGGAAGGAGGGAACCCTGAGGGTGAGGGTGCCCTCCCCTCGGAGCCCAGGTGGATGCGGGTAGGGTGAGATACCCTGAACCTCAGAGCATTTCATCCCCCAAGGAGGCAGAAAGTCCAGATGGGCTGTGGTGCCTGGCTTTCTTTTCTTCTGAAAACACAATTTCCACCATTTGTCTATGAACTCAGAGGAGGAGTTTATCAGTCATGGAAAATGCCCCAAAGGGGCTCCGATCAAAGGCAGACTTTGAAATGTGTACTTAGGTGGATCTCCCTGCCAAATACATTAATGTGATTAAAACACAAATTCCATCAACAATTATTTTCCATCTGTTTAGTAATAATAATGGCGATGCTGTGTGCCATCAATGGTGGCCTTCTTTTACCGAGGAGTACGAAGTGAATTTAAATGCTCTGCTGCACATGGATGCTGTGGCACTCTGGGAGGATTTGGAGGTTTTATTTGCTGGCAGGACAGGAGCTCAGCTGCTGTCCCCACACAGGGATCTCAGATAAGAATGACCACGTTTTCAATGTCACCTAGCAAATGGATTCATTAAAACAACTCAGAGCATTCTGCCCGTTGTGCAGTGTACTCGGGGGTTTGTTAATTCTTGTAGCCCCTTCCCTTCTTATTTCTACCACCAGGTACAGAGAACGTTACCCCCCGCTCCCAGGCCCCCGCCCCCCCCCCCCCCCCCCCCCCCCATATTCATTGCTCCAAGCACCAGTAACTTCTTTGCTTTATGGCTAGAGGGAGGCAGACTCAGCAGAACTGTCTGGTCAAAGTGGACCAGTCCTAGTTCGGCACTCAGACACCCAGTATGTTTGTTTGGATTCACAGCGCATCCTCTGAGCAGGGGGAAGGAGAAATCTATATGGTTTAAAGATCTCTGCCCAAACCTGACCGAGAGATTAAAGGGGAGGGCAAAGAGGGAGGGCCCAGACCAATTTCCACACACCAGCACTCCTAACAGAGATAGATTTGTGCCTCTGTGTGTGTGTGGGGGGGGGGGGCGGGGGCGGGCGGAGACCTGTGCACTGGAGTTTTTCCTCAGTGGAATGCTAATGACTCCTAAAGGTTAGCTCCCACTCCTTAACAAACAGTTCTAGAGAGAATCTCGTTTTCAGTGTTTATAGAATAGTGGCTTCTTGGACATAATCAGATTCTGGGACTGTCCTGGGCTGATTCTACATGTCCAGCTGATGCGGAAACACAGACCTTCAAAAATTACTAAACATGTCAAATGTGCAAGACAGAAAAGTGAGGAAAAAAAAAAAAGGAAGAGGATTTGCAAATTAAAGTCATCAGGTTAACCTCTTCTGATGAAACTGGTGTTGTCAAGTGAAAAACACTTCTTTGAAAAAAGACCCCGAGCAGATATTTCCTCAGGGAAGAGGGCAGTGACTGTTCTGGTGGACAGACGGGGACACAGTAAACAAAAGAAGGAAACTTCATCGCACCAGCCAGAAGCTGGAGTCTCCCCTACTGGTAAATGTGGAGGAGAGAATAGCGAAGCAGGAAGCGAGGTGTTGGGAGTGCACCCCCCCCCCTTGTCTCCGTTCCCACTTCCCTCCCTCTTTCCCTCTCTACTGAGCCCTTAAGAACAGCCATAGCTGCCCAAGAAGGTAAACAGAAATGAGTAAGGGTTTGTTTATACTGAAGAACGCAGGACAATTAAAAGGAGAACCACACCCAAAGGCCTGGCTTTTCTCCAAATGGGGTGCGAGATCTTTCCACTTGCCTTGAAAGGATGATCAGTCTCCCAGTGGTCCAGACACCAGCAGCAGATGCTTGGACTGTAGATACTAGAAGATCCTGGGTGTGGTGGTGGCACACATCTGTAAACCTAGTACTCAGGTGTCTGAGACAAAATGATCTTGAATTAAGACCAGCCTGGGCTACCTTACAAGACCCCATCTCAGAAAACAAACCAGTAGGGACTGGAGATATGGTTCAGTGGTTAAAAGCACTGGATGTTTTTCCAAAGGACCTGGGTTTGATTCCAAGCACCCACATGGAGGCTCACAACTGTCTGTAACTCTATTCCCCAAGGATCTGATGCCCTCTTCTGGCCTCTGTGGGCACCAGACATACATGTGATACACAGACATACATGAAGGCAAAACATCATACAACATAAAATAAAAAATTAAAACCCTAAATAGAAAAACCTAACAACATTTTAAAAATTAGCATTATTGCTATTGTGTGTGTGTGTTAGTACGTGCATGACACGTGTGTATGATGTGTGTGTGGCAGGGGGTGAAGACAGCTTTGGACAGTCAGTTATCTCCTACCTTCATACGGGTTCTGGGATCAAACTCGGGTCACCAGGCTTGTGTGGCAAGCACTGTCCCCAGATGAAGCACCTTGCTAGCCCATCCTAACTGTATCTTAAAATTGTTCTTTAGATTGTTGACAGCTGTGTTGCACTTTAATTCTTTCAGGGCAACAGGCAACACTGTGCACGCCCCCCTTCATGATTTGCAGGAGAATGGAAGGGGTTAGAAATAAAGCCCAACACCAAAACGATGAATGGGCAAAGGAGGCAGAGCTCGCCCAGGGCTTTGCTCTCTGAGGATGCAGGAGGTTAAGGAGCGGAGAGGCTCTCGTTAAGTTCTGGACAGTTTGAGGCACATCAAAGACTGTGGAAAGATGGCTCTGGTAGCTCATGCTTATAATCACAGCATACAGGGGGCTGAGGAGGGAGGCTTGCCCTGTGTTTGAAACTAGTCTGGGCTATGTGATTAGTTGCAGACCAGCATGAGCTACAATCTCAAAAAAAAATGTAAAAGAATACAAATTAAAACTATAAAAATGAACTTTAAAAGGCATTAATAAAGGCACAGGAGAATGGACAATTTGGGTTTCAATTCTGATTTTGTGTTTTCCTCTGTACTCCCTATGGAACCCTGGTGGGGGCAATCACACCCTCAGAGTTAGAGTTTTCTCCCCAAGTTAGTGATTCTGGTGTTGTTACAACTGGCTGGAACCCCAGAGATTGTCTGTTTAAGTTTCCTCATTTTACAGACAGAAAGCCAGCAGGAACAGCGGCTGTAATAATAGCTGCAGCTCACACTTCCGAGCATTTATATGAGCCAGACTGTATTCTAAGTTCCTTATCAGTGTCCTGTTACCACTGTGGTCCCTACTCAGAGGTAGGATTGCTAATCCCCTTTTCCAGGTGGGAAAACTGAGGTGCAGTGAGGCTCCATACACGAGGTAGGAAATGGGAGAGCTGGGTTTCCAACTCACATGGCTTGGTTCTACATCCCACGCTCTCCAGCAGTCCTTCAGAGAACTGGGAATTTGCTCTTCACCCTTTTCTGTACAGGAAAGAGGTGCCCTGCCTGAACTGCTGCTACCTGTGGTCCCAGAAACAAAGCCCTCTAGAGACAAAATTCCAGTATTCCAGCAATGGCCGAAAACATTACTGTTGCCCTTCAGTCTCCCTGAGAGCACCAATTCCATTTGGGAAAGCTTTTTCTCAGCCTGCTTTCCAGATGTGGCACAGTCTTCCCAAGATGACTGCGCCATGCCCTCCACCGGATGGGCCTTCTCTCCCTCCCTCTCTAACCTTCTCTTGAAATTCACTTGACCCGTTGTTGCACTTGGATCCGAACACCCAGTGGGGTGCTTTTTATTCCTTTGCAACCAGCAGTTATACATTTTTGTTGTTGTTCTTGTTGGCCATTGAGGATCCAAACTATTTCTCAGAGCAAAAATAAATGGCAGCGATAACATGGCCGAGTAAAACACCATTGCAGAAGACGGCGCTCTCCCGACAGTGTGGCCGAGTACTCACTGGGTAAGACTGGTCACACAGAATGGCACACTGATGCTCACTGGCTGAGTGAAGAGGCTACAGTCTACCACCTTAGCTCACAGAAAGTGCTAGGAACACATGGAAACACTGATGCTGGCAGACCAATAGCATTGGTATCAAATTACAGCTGCATGGAGAAGCATTAAGGAGATGATGTCTCAAGTTGACTGATACAGGGTCCCACTAGAACCCAAGCCTTCCACCCCTCAGGACACTGGCTTGCCATTGGGTAGCACTGCATCCTAAGGCTGCTGTGAGGACAACTGAGACGAACTAAGAAACCATCTTGAGACTGACTGCAGCAAACCTGGACAGGCCCTTAGCAAAGTCCTTCATGATCCCCTTCACCTGCCTTTTGGCCACGTATTTTACACCTGCTGACCCTTCTGCATGAGGTGGTCGCCTGGTCCTCTCATCATCTTTCCTTTCCAGTTGCAAACCGCTATCATCTATCAAGATCTGACCCTGCCTTTTCCCTGAAGCTTTTTCATGTCCTAGCATTTGCTGTGTCCCAGACAGTTAGATCACTCTCCATTGTGTGGTTTTAATTGATGGGAGATTTCTCTTTCTCCTGTTCTTATGCAGCGATGTAGCTGAGGAACTCCTTGAGGAGAGACTATGTCGCTTATCTCACATCTTCAGTGTCCAGCCCAGGACCTGGATCATTTTATTTACTCAATAAATATCAAAGGAGGAGGAAAGGGGGCACGCGCACATCCTTTGAAACTATGGAACATTAGAAGTACAAAGCGTCCTAACTGGAGACGGAAGCCCATTGTCTGGTGCCTTCGTAGGCCCCGGGAACGAGCTGTTTTGGCAGGCACAAAGCTCAGGCACAAACAGAAGCAAGGAGAATTCTAGCCGAGAGCAGAATTCTCTTACCTGCCCAATAAAGGGAAACAAAATTGCCCTGCGACAGATCGTGCCTTCCACTAACGCCATTCACCAGCAGTAATTTGGTTAGCTGAATAATCACAAAATCCACAGAACAAAGAGGCACGAGCGACTCTGCCGAAGTCCAGCACTAAGATATTTATTTTATCGGGTGCCATGACAGTTGTTAAATGAACTTCAGTGCAGTCAGGCAGTGTTCTGTTTGGTCATCCCCATGTGAGGGTCTTAGAGAAACCGGAAGAGAAAAGAAGCCCCCTCAGGGATTTTTTCTGATGGTACAAGTTTTACAAAAAGCTGAGTGCACAACTTGGAAAATAATAAGCTTCGGTGATAACGCGAGCTTCAACGACAATTACCACCAAGAGAAAGCGTGCTGCTCAAGCTTCCAGCTTACACTCGTGACTACGGAGCAGTCTGAAATGTCACGTTCAAGTTGAAGTGACTGTAGCCAATTAGGTGATTTCCACCAAATTGGGTCCATTAATACTCGGACATTATCTTGAGGGAGAAATAGGACTTGGTGACAAGGTGCGATGTGGCTTGTGAAATATTAGTTTTGGGCAATCACAAATCAAGATCCAAGTATGCTAAATTATTCAGCATTCTTGACCTCGTTATTAACTGACTTTGTAAGGGGTTTTGCCCATATTCATATCAGATCAGGGTTGAAGAAACTTGATCTCACTGCCTTTCCGAAGACATTTCTTTCTTCTTGTATCAGAGGATAGATAATAAATATATACATACACATATACGCACACATATATATAAATAATATACATATATAAAATATATAATATACATGGT